TGGGAAATTGTCGAATATTTTCTTTAACTGCTTCTGCAGTGTGCGGGTAAATTGTGAACGTTGTGTAAATTTAATAGTTAGACCCTTTTTCTAAGAAATGGCCGATGAAGAAAAGACTTACGGTTTCTTCGTGCAAGACAATGCTACAGCTCACACAGCTGATCGGTCGATGTTAGCATTAAGAGAAGTGTTTAGTGAACAAGTTATCGATCAGTGGCCTCCGCGTTCCCCAGACTTCAACCCGTGTGATTTTTACCTGTGGGGCATGCTGAAGAACAAAGTTTATGTAAACAACCTGCACACTGCAGAACTTAAAGAAAATATATGACAATTGATTTTGGCAATATCCCAAGAAGAGCTTCGTCGATTATTTCGAAACATGTCAACGAGATGTGAAGCTTACCTGCAAGCACAAGGAAGTCACTTTGAACAGCTATATTAAAATGGTATCTGAATTCATAATTCCAGCATTGTGACTAATATATGTTCTACATAAAGGATAACTTAAAGCCATTACATTTTTATTTTGTGATCTCGTCATGTTGCACCCTGCAATGTTGTGCCACTTTGGTCATTTCAGAAGAGCATGTTGCCTCCATCTTCAGGGTTGCAGTAGGGTTTTTGGTAGGCTGTATAAAGCTGTCAATAATTTATTTCAGGCTTAAAACATTTGAAGTGCATAATTTTTGTTGCAATGTGAATAAGCAGTCACAGTTCACAGTTTCTTATATGTGCCATGCAACTGTGACAGGGTTTTAAAACCTTCAGACCTCAAGAATATAGGAAGATAACAATTCTGTTCCTCACTGTTTACTTCTGTATGTTAGCTAAACAGCAAAATCATTTCACTACATGTTTCACTGATCATTCTATCACTAAGATCTTTGCTGAAGTGAGTAATATCTTTCTTTATTTAACACAGCACTACATAGCCTACTTTGAACCATAAGAAGCAAAATGAGATATCAGGCTGTCATGGAGATAAATAAAGAAGTTTGCTACCTTCCTGAGTGTTGCATCATGTAGTCTGGTAGAAATTCACTGAAGTTTCAGAGGCAGTAAGCACCTCAGAAATGTTAATCAATTTATACCAGACTATATGGTTAAATATCCCTATGAAAGCAATCTCTATAAGAACTAAGCTTCAATAACTCGCACCTCAATAAGAGTGGGAAGAAAACATCATTTGAAATCTGATAAACATCTGACTAAAAGTTGCATTTAAGAAATTATATTTAAGTTTATATAATTTTATACACCTGAAGATGGTTCTTCTAGAACTGAAACATGTCGTGTAAAAAGTGATGTTCTAATGTAAATCGAACATTTCGATAGAGAACATCATTTTAAATATTTAAATGTTAATTTTAGTAATATTTTAATATTTAATAGGAATTTTATTGTGATTTGACTGACAAGATTTAAACAAATAAACAAAGAGTGGGAAGACATAACAGAATCATCAGAAAAGTTGTCCTTTCCTTGGATACAAATTCAATTACTGACATGTCAGAAATATCTTTGTACCAAAGACCAATGTTCTCGACTCAGGAAGGATATGCATGCGCACATCATTATTTGCTTACCAGGACATTCACGTCAAAGGTATTTACTTCATTCTCACCTACATCGGTTGGGGCACTCAAATCTGTGGCAGATTTAAAGCATGTTTCATTGATGAGTGCTGTGGGTATATTACCAATTTATAAATTATTTAAAACTACAATTGTTTGGAATTATTCCTCTAGTGTTCCAAAATAAGATGCCTGTGTGATTGAAAGACTTATCCATGACTAGGAAGACCAAGGAAGTTATCAGAGATAACATGGAGGACTCTCTAGTATGGATGCTACAAGAATTGCAGGGGCATTACTCAGATGTTCTCTAGGCCAGGGGTTCTGACTCTTTTTCACCAGCATACCACTAATTCTAATTCAACACACTTCATGTACCACTAACCAAATGAGTTCAGGGAAAATGTATTTATATCTTTTGACTTCTTACTTAGTTCACGTACCACAAGTTGAGAAACGCTGCTCTAGGAGATACTGAAATGAGAAATTCCGCTTGAAAGCCCGAATGTTGACAAAGTCTCTGGTTTGCTGCTGGGTGTGGGAGTTTCCTAGACCCTGTCTTGGGGGGGTTCTGAAAATATTGGTGTATGTTTATGTGTGTCCAGTACCGTTCTTAGGATGGGGCAGCCACCCCAGTCTTCATGGGCCCCTCACATAGACATTCTGTCATTTGACACACAACTTATTTAGATGTGTGCCTGTTACATAAAAAGGGTTACATGAAATAACACTATAAAACACAATACTATTTCTCAAACAAATATAAAGTGCATAACAATCGAGGCGGGGTTTAACGTCAGAGCGTTAAAAACAAAAAAGTTGTTCAAATTTTAATACCAACTAAATGTTTTCGCACAATGAAGATCACTTCGGAACCTTCCCTACAATTCCTTTGTGTTTAATAAACATCACAATGTGTAACAGTCGAAAAGATACCACCTCCCAAACAAAACTACTCTTGTAACCTATGTACCACATGGTCCACCTCGAAGAGGCAACTGCTTTGTTTGCCGAAATGTTGGTTAACATGAAACATTCAACTCCAGCTTCGAAAATCAGTTATCTGTGCACTAAAAGACAGAAACATAATCGCTGACAGCAAACGGAGTCTCATACCATTGGCCGCGTTTAAATAGAACTATGAAGAAATATCAGTAGGATTATTTGAAGCTACTTTCCAATACAATTCACGAATCATAATTTGTGACGAACAATAATAATAATATAGGAAAAGCGCACAGGTGTGCATAAGAAAGTTTTCCTGTATTTAGTACGTCCTAATCGTTTTCATTCATTGATTGATCTGGTTTTGTTTTTACATTTTGTTATGTGGTATCTGTCGCATCGTTGATCATATAGTTCACTTACATATTCGGTTCCTGGTTCGTGGTAGAGTTTCGTTTTACAAATCTTGTGGGGGTAGCCGTGAACTACCAGCCTCTGTTATTGCGTGACGCAATGGTTGGTTCGGTCCTGTTCATGCCCGGTCGGTCATCGCGATTGTGGTGTAGAAATCCACCATATATTCTCCCATTTTCACTTCCTATATCCTCTCCGTAGATGGCAGCAGCAGTCTGTTACGTAGATATTCCATCTCGAACGTTTCCTTCGCTAGCTCGTTGGCCAGTCTTGATGGCGCGTATTTTGAAATTCCAAGAGTAATTTTCACGAATCGTGCCTTGACGTTTTCCAGTGATTTTACGTCTTTCAGACTTAGGTTGGGCCATGCAACTTCAATTCCATAGGTTAGCAGTGGGACAATTTTAGCTTCGAATAGTCTTACAGCGGTTTCAAGGCTAAATTGTCTTAGATTTTTTATTTCGAGCATCCCTTTGGTAGCTACGATGGCTCTCCCCTTAATGTGGATCCGTAGGACTTCGTTGTAGTCTGCAGTGTTACTCCCAGGTACTTAAATGCATTAGTGACTTTCAATGTTTCCTGTTTGAAGTAGACTGTGTCTTCCGCTGTCTTCCTTCCTCCTCTCCTGAATACCATCTGTACTGTCCTTTCTTGGTTGATTTGTAACCTGTTTTGTTCTGCCCAGGTTACTAGTCGGTTGAATGTTTCCTGCAAGTCACTTTTATTCGTCGAGCCTAGGTCCATATCGTCAGCATAGATATATAGCGGCGTTGCGGGTAGACATACTTTCGTGATGTCGGCCGTGGGGATGTTGAATAAGAGTGGGCTTAGTGGATTCCCTTGTAATACCTCTTTGGTTTATACGATTTCTTTTGATATCGTTACGGTGTCGTCGATTCTTACCAGGTTGTGGGTCAGGATGTTATGGATTAGGATGGATGTGCTTTTATCCAGTCCTATCTTTTCCAGCGAGTATCTGCCTATTCACACTGTCGAAGGCTTTTGTTTAGTCAATGAAAATTGTGTAGTACTTGGGGTTGGAAGAGCCTCCTTGATATCGTTTAGCAGGTTTTCTATTGCTTGTAAGCAGGAGCGGCCTCTTCTAAACCCAACTGCTGTTGAGGGATTTGTGGATCAGCTATCTTCGTGATTATTTTCGTTAGTATGGTTGTCAGCAGTTTGAATGAGCTATTTTCTAGTGCTATTCCCCTGCATGAGTTGGGGCCGTCAGTGGCACCCTTGCCTTTGTATATCATTTTGATATTCGAGACATCCAGGGATCTGGCAGCTCACCAAGTTTCAGGCAGTGGTTGAAGAGGACTTCCCAAGTTTCTATGAGTAGCGGACAGGAGACTATGATGTGCTCATTGAAGATATCATCTGGCCCAGCTGCCTTGTTTCTTTTGAGACCTGCTACTGTTTCAGTAATCTCTTTTGTGGAGATTGGTCTGTATGTCCTTGTTATTGATGGTGGCAGTGTGGGATAGGCTCAATTTTCTCCAGTCGGCTTCAGAATGTCTGTAAAGTGTGTTTACCAAGTCTCCATGTGGATGGTGGGCGGTATTGGTACTTTCCTTTCTCTCAGCGCCACAAAAAGGTCAGTGACGGCTGCTGCTGCTAGTTTCAGTTCTTCATTTTCCATATAAGTGTTCCTTTTATCCTTAAGAAGGATTTTGTACTGGTTCCTTCCCATCGAGTATGTCTCTAAGTCTTGGGAGAGTCCTGAGAGTTTTGCTTAGTGTAAGGCTTGTAGAGTAATCCGTCTTTTTCTGTAACAGTGCATTGAACCATGGCTTTGCTTGTCTTTTCTTGACAGGGATTATTGTGGACTGGAGTAGCTGTTGTATCTGTTGAGTTGCTTTCGTAACACTGCTCTGTATGGCTAGTTGAGTTGACTCCATTTCCTCTCTTGCTTCTGCTAGGACATGCAAATCAAGCTTTCTTGATACTTTTGTGGCTCTTTTCTGATGGACTGACATTGCATTAGTCAGCATGTCGAAGGTGGTGATGACTGGGACGTGTTTTCTGAGTGGCGCTAGGCTAGACAACTAGTCCACTGTTCATTGTCTTACACGCATGTTATTTCCTCTGCAGAATATGATATCTATCATGCTGCTTCCATTGGGTGCGAGATATGTTTTTTGCTCTGCATTGCTTATTAGCCTAAAGCCTTCTTCTTCGAGAGCTTCGACTAGCAGTTTGCTCCTTTGCGTGGTCTTATCTATTTGGCAGTTGAAATCTCCTGCTATTATTACTGGATCTTCAGGATATATTAGTGATGTCGCGCTCATTATTGTTGCTATTATTGTTTCTACGTCTGTATGGAGTTTGAAATACATGACTAGGATGTTTACAGTGTCTGTTTTAACTCGCTGTGTCTGAGGGTCACCTGGCGTAACTTAGGATCGGTATAGCAAGATATCCCCCCGTAGGATCTTCCCTCGTTTCTCTGTTGTGCTAGTGTGTGTGCTGAGTATTTCCCTGGGAGCTCTAATGGATCTGTAGTCATTGTCTCTGTCAGTATGTAATAGTTTTGTATCTGCAATAATGTTGACCATCAAGGCTGGTGAAATATTGAAAGTTGCAAGGAATGTATTTTGACAATATGTGTACTCCAAAATGGAGTCTGGAATACACTACCCATTCTTTGTAATTGTATAAATTAATTAAATCTGCTATACCTAGATACATATTGGTGGCAATAAAAATTCAAACCCAATAAAGATGGAATTCAAGTTCTCATCTATAAGCAGTAGATATCAACCATTGTTTTGCTGTGATATTTTGCAATCTTGGAGCCGTTTCCTTCACTGTTCAGCACTAATCTTTGCATCACATGGCATCTGCTTCATATATGACAGGTATCTGACTTGAATCCTTCCCTACTACTGGTTATTATTTTTTCTCATCCTCAGCCCATTAATGTGCCACATGCATTTGGTGTTTAATGCAAAGCACCATTTTTTTAAGAATTGGCAGTCTTTCATTGACGCTTCATAACATCTTCAGTTGATGCAGCAGTAAAGCTGATTTTGGAGTATTGTGTCTAACAATACTAGTTTTAGTTAGTTTAGATGTTAGAAACAGAAGGAATTCAAAGATACTATTTAAGATGTAATAAGTTCAATCAGAAGGTGACAAATTACTCATTTATGTACATACATCTGCAAATGTGAATATAGCACCAAAATCTTGGTTATGATGTTATAGGGTGATATATGTTGTTTAATTAGGACTTTACTGTTTAGTATGGGGCATTGTGCATATTTTTAGATATTTCTCCTACATCAAATATATACTCTTGTAAACATTAGTGAAATTTTATCTTCACGTTGCTTCTGTTGTCAGAGTAATAAAACACCCAAATTCTTGCATTTTGGTAAAATAATCATTGTGTAACAATATTTCATAATGTGTAGGTATGTTTATTAGCTACTGCGTCCCGCTGAATTTAACTTGTATTTGCAGTGGTCACCTGGGATAATTTTATTGTTTCAGCTGTACACTGGCCCATTGCCCACAGTATCGATTTTCCGTAGGTCCATAGGTAGAAAAAAGTATTAAGTGATTTATATTTTGCTAGAGCCCTACATGGCACATATAGGGACAGCTTTACTCTTTTTTTTAAGCGATGTATAAATTATTTTTGCGCTGAATGCTGTATAACCTGCAACAAGCAAATAGGGAAAGGCTGTCATACACATGTATTACGGTATTAGTTGATCTCTGGTCATACCCTCCAAACACGTAAGATACCTGCACTGGTAACGACGTTTTCATCTTATACGTTGGGCACATTGTAGACCGGCGGATGTAAGAATCAGTTTTAATCACACGTTTGTACTGGAAATGTCTTTGCTTGCGTCAAATGCTCTCTAAGTGCTTTAGATGTTATTTGCTTAAGGTGGAGAGACAAAATTTGTGGTTGATTTGTGCGAAGGGCTGAGGTACAAGTCTAAATTCAATGACATTCCCACCCTCGACGTCATGCATTTCTCATATACTCCGTGTATTTTACACACTCCAGCCATCGTATCCTCATTGATTTAATCATCCTAATAACAATTGATGGAGAAAAGAAATTATGAAAGTTTTCTTAATTCAGTTTTCTCCAGAATCCTGTTGCTGTCCCTCTCTTAGATCCAAAGATTTACGACAGAACCTTGTTCTCAAATATCAGATTTCCTATCCATGCAATGAAATTATCAGTAACATTCCCACACTCGACATCATCCACTCCACTTATCTTCCATGCATTCTACGTATCCCAGCCATCGTATCCTCATTGATTTAATCATCCTAATAACAATTGATGGAGAAAAGAAATTATGAAAGTTTTCTTAATTCAGTTTTCTCCAGAATCCTGTTGCTGCCCCTCTCTTAGATCCAATGATTTTCTACAGAACCTTGTTCTCAAATATCAGATTTCCTATCCATGCAATGAAATTAGTAAAACTGAGATCTTAAGTTGTGATGGTGGCCGAGATGTCAAAAGTGATTTTCCAGATATTAATAACTGGTGGTCTTGTAGATGGTTACCAATGTTTCAGAGGAAAACGTGCAGCATTTCAGCCTGGGAGACTGCCATTGAATAATAAAATTTTAGATACTTGTATTTTAATCTTTATGCCTCTAGACAGGAGAAAATAAAAGAAAATTATTCTGAACAGATGTAAGTTTCTCTTAATTTATTCATGGATGTGATTTCAATTTGTTATTGTTATAATGAAACATTCAAATTTTAATTCGTTTTCAGAGGGTTTTGTCGTATCTGTATATTATATTGTTCTCATAATTTTGGTGATTATATTGAAGGTATTATTTTGTTGATATGGCAATGAAGGTTTGATATCTTTAATAACCAGAAAATCTAGACTAAACAGTCTCAAGTTGTCAATATGTTGGTTCTCGTCTTGGCCAAAGTGGAAAAGACAAACAAGTTGGTACATGTACGACAGATTTACACAGAGAAGTAGAAATTGTACAAATGATCATGAATGTTAAGTTGAAATATTTTAGAAACATTGGTAAGGATAGGAATAGGTCTGTAAATAGTAACAATGGTACAGTTGCCATTTTTGAACACTGAAACAAGAGCAGTTTGTTTCCGCAAAGACAAATGACATATTTGTTAAACTGAGATTAGATATAAAAGATAAGAATAACATTAAATTGTCAAAACAAACCTTAATTATTAATGGTGGAACTCCATCCAGTCAAGCACATTTGGAACCTCTAAGGGGCTGAATGTCCCTGCTGATTTCAACAGCAGAGACAGAAGCAGTGGGTAAAAATTGTCAATACTGTCTCTTTTAACCTGAGGATGGAAACAACCAGTTTACAAAATATTGTGTTCTTCTGAGTGGCTGGCACTTGAAATGAAACTGTTCTGGGACCAATTTGTAGTTGGTATAAATTTAGAGCGTAGTCTATAGTACATAACCTTGTCAATTGCTTTACAAACACAATTAATACTGAATTGGTTTACTAGATGTTTGTGCTGAATTAATGGCTTGTTTAATTGAGCAATTTATTATTCAGTTGACTAATTGAATTGGTATAAAATATAGAAGAGAGCTTCAACATGGGTATTAGCTAGTGCTGATGCAACAGTACATGAACTTTTTATTAGGTTGACATTCTGTGACTAGAGTGTGGGGAAACACGATTGGGTTTGCATCACACAAAATGTACAATTGCTTCAAAGGTGAATGTTAATATAGTGCAATGATGGTGGTAACAAGAGCCCAGATTTATGAGTGATGATTCTGTAAGTGACAAAGTTTTATTTCGAAAGAATGCATTTAAAATGTGGGGATATAAATGAAAGAGAGGTTATGTTTGCAAGACTTTTTAAGAAGCTGCTGTTTTTGTAAGCTTGGATAGTCCTAGAAAGTTTTATAGATATTACTATATACTGCAGACATTAACATATGCTGTACAAGAATGTAGGATTTAAATGCCTTGCTACAGGCTGCCGGTTACACTCCAGGATTAGAAACTTATGCTACTACATTATACAGCCAATTGGAAGTCACATATTCCCATTGGAGCCTAAGTAATTCAGGTATGAGCCTACATTTCTAAGTTATGACATTTACTGTAAAAGACTGTTTTCTTTTGATGGTAGGAACTCCTTAAGAGTTAAAAGAAATTGCTGCTCATGAGCAGTTCTCTGAAATCTATGTTTGTCCTGAAAGTGTTTACTCACTACAGTGAATAGACTTCATACTGGACAACCACGATGCAATTTTTGGCAGCAAAGTTATATATCCTCCTCTTTGCCACTTTGGCCAGACCAATTCTGTACTCCACCGAGTCTTGTGCGTAATGTCCACTCACACCATCTGGTGTCAATGTGGTGAAGAATGTGTGAAGCCATATCTCCACTCCCATTAGTTTACATGCTCTAATGCTTATTAAGCTCTGGATATATCCTTACCTTTAAGAGGATTTTTCACATTGAGATTGGCCAATTTACAGAGAAGCAATGATCACGGCAAAGGCCACTGAACATGCATGACTGCCAAATGTCCTGAGTATGAGATCAGTCATATCCAGTTCAGAATTTTTCACAAGTCTCTTCCTTCCCACTGTCTCATGCCCAGCTCCACTTAAAGAGTATGGAAATACACCAGTAGTTTCAGAAATTTGATTTAGTATTTTAACCCCCTTCTTGCTGTCAGCTTATTCCTTCATAAAACTGTATGAACATAGCCCCGATTATAAATGTTAAAATGTTATTGAAACGGAAGTCAACACATGATTTTGATTAAATTTCAGCATTCAAGATACTAAGCTCCACTTACCTCTCACACTCGGGATAGTCCTAAAAATTTTATAGATATAATTAAATACTTCAGGCATTAACATATGCTGTACTAGATGTAGGATTTAAATGCCTAGCTACAGGCTGCCAGGTACATTCCAGGATTGGAAACATATGCTACTACATTATACAGCAAGTTGGAAGTCACATATTCCCATTGGAGCCTAAGTAATTCAGGTATGAACCTAGATTTCTAAGTTATGACATTTTTTGTAAATGACTTTTCTTTTGATGGCAGGAACTCCTTAAGAGTTAAAAGAAAGTGCGGCTCATCAGCAGTTCTCTTGAAACCAGTTTCAATTTAATCTATTGTCAGGAAGGCATTGAAATACTATATACCAACTGAAATCTGTGTTTGTCCTGAAAGTGTTTACTCACTACAGTGAAAAGACTACATACTGGACAACCACGGTGCAATATTTGGCAGCAAAGTTATAGATCCTCCTCTTTGCCACTTTGGCCAGACCACTTCTGTAGCCCACCCAGTCTTGTATGTAATGCTCACTCACACCATCTGGTGTCAAGGTGGTGAAGAATGTGTGAAGCCAATCTCCACTCCCAATGGTTTACTTGCTCTAATGCTTATTAAGCTCTGCATACATCCTTATCTTTAAGAGCATTTCTCACATTGAGATCGGCCAATTTACAGAGAAGCAATGATCAGGGCAAAGGCCACTGAACATGCGTGACTGCCAAATGGCCTGACTATATCCAATTCAGAATTTTTCACAAGTCTCTTCCTTCCCACTGTCTCATGCCCAGCTCCACTTAAAGAGTATGGAAATACACCAGTAGTTTCAGAAATTTGATTTAGTATTTTAACCCCCTTCTTGCTGTCAGCTTATTCCTTCATAAAACTGTATGAACATAGCCCCGATTATAAATGTTAAAATGTTATTGAAACGGAAGTCAACACATGATTTTGATTAAATTTCAGCATTCAAGATACTAAGCTCCACTTACCTCTCACACTCGGTTCCAACAGAAAAGCTGCTGCACATCATAGGACATAGCTCATGTCTACCTAAAAAACCATACAATTTGCAGATGTTACGGACTTTAAACTATGGGAGAGGTAAGAAGTGGAAGACTAACATATTTGCAGCTTAAATTAAGTACAAAATTACCTTGACTGTAGATCATAGATCAAAGAGCCGGGTTGCCCATGCTCTGAAGAAGAACCCTGACGGTTCTTCTTCATTTAGAAAACTAACCTGTGGGAAGATGTTTTTGATAATATGTTAAATATTCTCCGTTTCTCAGTTACTGCAAAGGTGATTCAGAAATCAGGGGTCACCCATTTGGCATCCAGGTTTGCGATGTGTGGTGCATCAAGTGTCAAAATGGGGTCACATTAATACAGGTAAGGAGGCAGGCTTAGTATTATGGCACTCTGTGATGTCAGAGTGTCTGTTCATTATGAGAGATTATCTGATACTAGGGTTTGATCTTGTTATTGTTGATGTTGCTCTTGGGTGTTGACACCATGCAGGACCTTCGGTCACTTCACTCAGACCCACAGCTCACCAGTGGTCAGCGATGATGTGGTTCTGTATCTCTGCTCTCGAGGAAATATGCAATGAGTCAACCAGCACTCATTTTGATCTACTTTCTGTTTGATGATTGGTTCTATGAGCAGGAAGATGGAGTGGGCATGGAGCCATCAACTATCCCACATCATAGCCAACAAATATACATCACATTCTGAGGCACAGCTGGTGTTGGTTAAGGTTTGTGGGTTTGTGGGCGATACCTTTGTTGTCTGACATCATGATCCAGTGGATCTCCACAACTTTCTCTTCCACCTAAAGAGAATTCCTCCAAAGATTCAGTTTATGATGGAGTGGGAAGCAGGAGGTCACCTGCCATTCCTGGCTGAATGTTGGCATTTAGAGAATCACATTCAGTTCTTGGGCACAAACCACAGGAATTACTTGAATGGGTGCTGTGTTGCATCACCAGCTGACCCAGATCTTTGGTATCCTCTGAACCTTTATACTTTGGGCAAGCAACATAAACCTACGTACTGAACTGGCTTGTCCCAGAAGAACTTCCATGAGGAAAGGTGCCCTGCAGAATATTCTGCCCCAGGGACTGGCCCAGTGAAACAGCATTGATAGAAACCCATCAGAACAGAATTTTATCATTCTTGCAGAATCTGTCCAGCTGCGATGGCAAAATAGTGGTGTGTTACTACATCCATCTTATCATGACAGCTGCTGGAGGCTACTTGTAAGTGCAGGTCTTTGTTCATAGGTGAGATTTGTCACATAATAGAAAATGATGAATGGAACAGCAGAGAGACCTCTAGCGGTGCTATGCTTTGTTGGTATCACACTCAGTCAACCAGGGCCGCGAGATGCAGTTTGACAACACGATGGTAGGAAGTTACAGTAATAGCCTAGCGTCTCCAAGGTACACAGGATGCCACTGAGGGCCAGTAACAGCAGCACCAACTCTATAACTTGCGCCATTCGTCAATCCTACCTATGTCCATCCTCGCTAACACCTGACCACATGGTGTGTGACCATCACACCACTTTGGGGTCCTCCATAATGACTGCTTGTTTGGTGTTCTTTATGCTCTGGAATTAGGAAAGAACAATAAGGGCCTGTCCATACCTGATTCTCTGCCTGTCACGATTTTGAGTAATGGACTGGTAGTAGATTCAGAAAACATAATACGAAAAATGGAATTGTTGACCAAATGGTGATTTGCGTGCTGGATGATCATAACACTGATTAGAATGATAAGATAAATGTTGATGATTTTCACAGGTGAATTTTGATTTCAGAAAACTGATGTAATGGATATGGCAGTGATCTTCAGACTGATCATTGTGGACCTTGCCATAATGACTGTAATATAAGCCAGTCATTGTGTTGAATATTTTTGGGATTGGTGTGTTACCTGTATAAGATGTGAAGTTCTCATTGCAACCTATTTCAGCAAAGTCTTGCTCATGAGAATTGAGTTTTGATCACAACTCACGTGGCTGATCATGTGAGGAGACATCATTGAGTGGGACACCTGATTCTGTGTAGATCAATTGTTAGGTCATGAAAGTTTATGATAGAGGAGGAACTGTCTATTATACTGGGTTACTTGCAATATGCTATGGCAATGTCATTACAAGATGGTGTCTAGAGTTGATTTGTAAGTTTCTGCATTTCACTGATGATAAGAGTATCCATACCATGGCCTTCCAGAGCTTTGAGGATGGTGTCTGTCAGGCCAAGACATCTGTAATTCTGTAGAAGAGCCATCTATGAAACAATTTCTTCCACAGTGAAATTTATAATGCAGATGTCTGAATACTGAGACAGTTACAGAGTCACCTGTCATACCAGTAGATATGAGCAAAAAAAATTACTGCAGTTTTTGATGTTCTGGTCTAAACTTTGCCAGGCTTGCCATCTCAGCCCATTAGTCTGGTAAAATAAATTTAGGAAACAAATTGGCCATTGTAGGAATGCTGTTGTGTAGAAGGCTTGATCAGAAAAAATTGCTGTGCTCTGAGTGTGTGTGAGGGACGCAATGAAGTGTTGTGAATAGTGTGGTGTTGGAGTCTGTTTGAACTGTTTTGTAGACTATCGAAAGAACAGCTTGCTTGTGTAAGAGAGAAATAGGTTAGAGAGGTATATTGCAGTATGTAATAAGGAAGCTTGTGTCTGTATTGCTGGGACAATTAAGACTGTTTCAGTTTGCGGATAAGGAATGCCCAATGTATAATCAGGCATGAAGTTCTGACCAGGCAGGTGATTCATTGGATCGAATGATTGTTGCCCAACAAATGAGAGAGGACAGTCTTGCTATGGCAAGGAGTCCTCTTAGTATTCCACAGTAGACAAGATTCTCTAGAAATCTGGTAAGATAAGCAATTAAAATGTTTTGTTAATAGCTTGTTCTGAGTTTTGTGAATTTTAGCACATTTTGAATTAGCGCGGAGCAAGAAACCTAAGCTCTGTAGATTAAGAAACTCAACATCTCAGTGCAATAAAATGCACTGGAGAAATGTAAGCTGATATGATTGTGACAGATATTCATTCCGGGATAAAAGCATCAGTACATGTGTAATAAATAATCCTGATGCATCCAGATTATTATTGTGTTGACATTACATGACTAAAATAAAGATGCTACAAGTGCATGTGGTGTTTCTTTGGAAGACCTTATTCCAAGTGAAGATGAAGATGAGGAATCAGAAATGTCTGAAGTAGAATTCCTGAAGTCATTATCAATGAAGCAGAAACGAAGGCTACTTAGGTAAGAGTATTATGGCTTATATAGAATTTTCTTAATAGTTGCACGAATGTGCTAGCATTTAATCATCTAGTGACCATCAGTTTCTTCAGTAATGCTCTTCTGTGGCTTTCCATGGAGGCTATACTAATGTGCAATTACTGAAATGTTCCTGTAGCCCTGTTTACGTGACATCTATCAAGACTCATGTGTTTTATTGCATTCATGTCTTTTTGTGCAAATTCATAGCAGTCTGGCTGTCAGTATTTGCTTGTCATTAGGACACTGGGGGCTTTCTCTGGCTGCCTGTCATTTTGTTGTGCCACCTACTGGGATAACTGAGTCAGTATAATGACTAGCTACGAGCTGGACGACTAGGGTTTGATCCACGAAGGGGGCAGAGGACTTTTCCTCTAGCCTCTGCGTCCAGACCATCTCTGGGGCCCACCCAGCCTCCTATCCAATGGGTACCTGATTTCCTGTCCTGGAGTTAAAGAGTAACCAGGGCATGATGCTGACTATTCACCATCATCTAGTGCCGAGGTCAAGTATGAGTACTAGCTCTACCCCGTCTCCCCCCAAGAGACGTATATGGATGTAGCGGGACTGCTTTCTACGTACAGCATTACAAGGTCTTTTGCCTTGGTTGACAGCAAAGAATTACCACTCTGCAGCAATTCCAACTTTGTTATGATTTACACAATTGGTAACATTTTTATTTTTCTTGTATTGTGAAACAGCTGCATATTTTAAGTACAATATGTCTCTCATTTTACTATCCAGTGTCTTGACATACTAAATCTTCTGCAAAGCATAAAATGTGCTTGTTATGTTCAAAGTCCTTATTACCATTATACAGGCAGTTACTCATCGCTCCCAATGCAACATCTTCATAATGTCAAATTGGGCCATGCACCGTTAATGTAGGTACAAAAGACGAGAACCACAAGTATTATCGACCATGGGAAGAAATTTATATTTGTCATCCTGTCCTCTGAGTCTTTCCTGGCTTCATACAGAAATTTTTCTTTCGAATGTGCACGTCTGAGACGGGTTGGAAAAAATTAACAGGAATGTTCAAGGTATGTGAGGAAGACAGCGACTGTTAACTCTTCACATTTTAATAGAGTTATTGTTTACTAAAAATTTGTTACATAACTAGATGTTTTATGACGGGGAACCGTTGGCTGGACGGGGCCACGGCGCAATACGTGGTATCGACTTCATTTCGCCTGAAATGCGTTGCCATCTATCGGGACCAGGTGAAATTTTATTAGCATACAGTAAAGATCACGTTATTCAGTCAGCGCCATTTTACGGTTACAGTTTTTGTTTTAATAGCCCGTGGTTTATTTTTCTCCTACATTTTAGAAACTTTTCTCAACTTCCAGTGAAGGTAAGACCTATTGATTATTCATATCCACTTTGTTGAATGTTGCATAGTACAAAGTGTTTTCTTGAAAGTCTCAAACACAACATTTTTATTTATTTTCATGGTGTAATTTTTGATGGGACAATCCTAACCTGAAAAAGCATACTCGGTGCAGGACGGGGTAACCCGTTTTGCCCTTATTGAAAGTAGAGAAAACGATCAAGATGACGAGTGCCTGTATTGTGGCGATGTTTATTCGCAGTCTATTGAAGGGTGGATCCGGTGTTCGTCTTGCTTGAAATGGGCCCATAACTCATGTGCAGTTGTTGATAGTGTTTATGATGAAGAGGTGCACACGTGTGCAATCTGATTTAGGCCTAAGTAGAATTAAAATGTGTAAAGTTTGGACATTTCTGGAGACTATTTTTACAATTTACATTGTATATTTTAACATTTTTATATCCTACGTCATAATTGTTACACAATCTGTGTCTTCTTACAACTTTTTCAAACGTATATGAATCATATCACGTCTTGTCCCGGGCACGGGGCAAAATGGGGAAAGTTACATTATTGTAAAAAAACTAATATTTTTAAAAAACTGTAACTCTTACAACTAAATTAATACCTCGTTATAAATTTCAAATAGACAATAATTCTACAAGAGGTTTCTCCATGTGTTTTTGTCTTTGTTATTGCCTCAGAAGATTAAGTTCTCCATTCTGCCCTGGGCTCTGCTATTCTTTTACAGATTTACAAAGTGTACTTTTTAATATATTTGAACAGTTCTGGAAATGAGATAGTTGATTATACAATTAAGTGTGTTCTTTTATGCATTACATATGAACCAGATTTTGTAGACATACTCTTACTAGTCTTGGAGATACAAGTATCCAAGTGAGGAACAGCCTGTGTCCTCAAACTGTGTGTGATACTGGGCACAGTATTTTGCTGTTGTACTTGAGTTATAGCAGCCATGGAATGACTCTTTGGTTACAATGTGCAGAATGCTGTTAAGTTGTACAGTTTACTTTCCACTTTGTTCTGATGTTTTGCCACAATTTTTGTACAGTATTAAAAGAAACTTTATATATAAATTTCATATACTTTCTGTGAAAGTTATATTAAATTAATTTCTCTGTTCTTAGGAAACTTGACAAACTCTTCAAGAAGAAGAAGAAGAAGAGGAGCAAATCAAAGAACAGGAAAATGAAGAATGGTGAGAGTGGTGACACTAGTTCATGTAGTGAAATATTTAAAGGAAGAAATGAAATCACATAAGGAGAAAAGAAGAGTGAAAGAAGACAAAAATAAACAAAGTGAAATTGATTACAAAAACGTGGTAATCAAGAAGGAGTAATCAACACTGAGCAGTGCATCCGAGTCACATAATAAGACTCCGGAAAATGTTTATGGCAGAAGCATTGATTTTGCTGGTCACCGCAGTATGCACCAATGGCATCAAGCAACTTGCGAGAGAACACCTAACAAGGATTATAGAGAGGCTACCAGACTGAAAGTAAGACAGGATGGATTCATGAGTGGAAGTAAGCACAGCAGTTTTTTTTACATATTGGTTGCCCAACTGGTTAAATTTCTCTTTTTTGGGAGTGGGGGCATAAGAGGAGTTAAATGTCTTTCAGCACAGTCATTTTCCGTGAACGGTTTCTTTCCTCGTTGAATCTAGGCTGTCATTTTAGCATGGTATTACAATCTGGGGATCTTCTCTGTGAACCTGATGAATCGTTGTTGGCAACATTTTATGTCAGTGACATTTTGCAACTTTGACATTTTCACATCCAGAATATATCATAAACTGATTGCACCTCAAATTCACACAGCAGTGCACAAGTTCTGAGTGATTAACATGAAAATGCCCTATGGATTTGAGTCCTTGTAGATGCAAGGTGCCGCATTCTGTCCTCTGCCACGTGTGTCACTGGTGAACTGACCGTCCCAACTTGGACACCCCTTTTAATGTAAGTTTTATCATATCATTATCATCCTAGTCACAGTTTTTGTGTGGGGTATGTCAATGTTTGTCCCTGCTTTGAAAAGTTCTAAACTTCATTTACAGTAGAAGAAGTCCTCGTTTATGTGGGGAGTCCCATTCCGTCTTTAGCCACCTGTCACCTGTGTGTTTTTTCACTTTCCATCCATTGCAAATGAGGTTGCATCATCTTGTCATCATCTTAATCAAATTTTTTTCTATCGTCACGCAAATGCAGAATGTGGATATCCACTGTTGCGCCATCTTGTAAGTCCAACAGTGGATTTCATACATTTGGTGTTCCTCTTGTAGGTCTGTGTTTTCGTAATGTAATGTAATGTAACACTTCATCCGTGAATAAATACTCTCTCTTTCAACCGACATTACTGCTCCAAGTTCCTTAGAAGGTCGCCGCTTGGATAAGATAATGTCTGTATTCTAATGATGTTTAAATAAAACTTTTCTTACCCCATATTGTTTTAAAGCTAGGAATTCTCTTCTCGCAAATTTTTGGCTGTTGAAGCAGACAGAATCAACAATGGCCACTTGGTTGAACCACATGGCAATGTAATTACATTTGTGAAAAAAGGTTTTCATGACAGTGTGCAGTACCAAGCCTTCGGCTAAATTTGTCTGCGTTGTTAAAAGTTTATTTTAATTATCTTTTGCAGCTGTACCTTCTTTCTAGGGATTGGTTCAGTGTTGCCCCTAACAAGAGACTGAGGAATTGAAATCTAGTGTAGAGTGAGGGACATTTTCCTGTATTACGTGCGGTCCATGTTCTGCGTTGCTTTCGCGTTTCAGCTGTCGCCTTATAACAAAACATCGTTAAACATCTGCATGATTAAGCTGGCCAGCACATAAACCAGGCACCATATTTACATGAGCGTAAAATTTTCATGATGGGTCATAGGTTTTTCGGCATTTCATATGCTTCTGTCCTGGCTAAGAATTTTGAGCATTGTCACCTGTAAAAAGAAGTTTCTGCTTCCCGTCCTTTAAAATATCTCACATGTCGGATAGCAGAGAAGTCACTTTTTATCGCACGTTTTTCAAGAAAAGGGAATTGTCGCAATCGCTTAAAGGGGATGGCAAACTGGAAAAGGTCAGGGTTCAAAATTATAAATGCATGTTCCTTGGTTTGAACCGTGATGGATAACATAATTCACTCAGGATTATTACGTGAGTGAGAAACAAATGAACTTGCAATTAGCTGGCAAACTACAGGTTGCATGTGTTGGAAGTAGCCAAGTTGAAATAACCCAGTTGTAAGTAGTTGGATGGAGAAATTAATATTACCAATATTTCACCGTAGGTTCCAATCTTATGTGAAATGCTTGTTTTCTATTCAGTGTTCTGTCTGACGACAGGTACATATGAACAGGATCCTTCCATCCTTTTCTCGGACTGGGACCTGTTCATATTCGTTCTTGGCAGATGATCCAGAAGTGGTTTGCCATTGCCTTCTTCTGTGTGTGAATGGAGTAATTGTTGGGATGCCGCGGAGAAACCGGGGAAGCCCCCGGAGGAAACCTCCGTGTTGCCCCAAGGAGAAAGCCATTTGAGGTGTAGGTGCCTCCTTGATTATAATAAACACTGTTGTTCATTGGGCAAATTGTATGGTTTAGTGCAGGGTGGTCCAACTTTTTTCCTCACTTGGGCCAGAATAGTTTTCCTGTTTGACCCAAAGGGCCAAGAAATCCCTTCTGTCACTGTTTTTGCATTGTCATTATCTTTAATAATACTTATTCAGAAATGACAAATTACTATTGCATATGCTGAAATATAAATTGTATTCAAATGTGCACAAAGTACTATAGATATGTATATTATTTTAAATTTGCTTCTGCAACAGCTTATATCTGTCACAATTTTTACCTGGAAATTTTTCACAAATTATTTGAACTCTGCTACTTTAATAGCTTGTATCAGATACAATATCAATTTGTACCAGTAGAACGTACATTATATGCTTTTAAAGTCAATAGCTTTAGTGAGAGCACTGGCAGAATATTCTTTTATGAGTGATGGAATATCAACTTAGAAGAAATGGGTTTGCAATAACTATTCACAAAATAACAAATACTTTCGTGGGTCGCCAGTTGGTCCATGTTGGTTTAGTCTGATTTGTTGTAATTATGCCTGTGTGTTAAAGGTGCATTCGGACATGTTGTTTCTCCCGTAGAAAATTTCTGTAGTGTTAGTGTGAGTAGTGTGGTGGGGTGGGGGATCACACCACCTGAGGCAATGTTGCCACCCTGATTATCTTTCAAACGATTTGAATTGAGCGCGCACTGATCGCATTGACATCTGTGGTGACGACACGCAAACAGTCTACAGTTGATGCAAGACTCGGGTTACAAGCCGCGTCAGGTGTCTGAATAGTGAATAAACGATATTTTGCGTTATAGGCGCATGTCTTCTGAGTTTTAACAGATTGCATGGTAAGTGTAACTTAGTGTTCGTTATTATTAATATAAATGATAACTTTTGAAAGTACAAATATGTATGTCTATACTTCTGAATCTACAGTATTGTAACATACAGGGCTCAGGCGGGAATAAATGTGTGACGTTAGCCACGGCTGAGGTAATGACACTTTCTGGTGCTGCATTGTCCAGTTACCAGGCAGTATGGCGGCATAGTCTTGTTTTAGCCCCTGCTTATGCTCTATCAAGCAGATTCTGTGGGTAATTTTATCTGGGTAACATGCTGTGAGTTCCCCACGTGATTTGAGCTATCATATTTTTTGTACGTAATAAATGAAAGCTCATAGTATAATATTTGTAGTTTTACATTAAAGTACTTAAAATTACCATACAAAATACTGTGAATGAATAAATGCATCTGTTAAGTAAAAACTTCGGCTTTATCTTCATGGGATTTGTATAGGTTGGGTTTTACCCCAGGCACATGGCAGAATTTCTTTGTTCGGTGGAATTCCGCGTTATTTGTTTTGCAGACCTTCGTCAAATAATCAAACGTAGAGCAGAAATTATTACAAAATTCTCTATGTTGTCTTCATGAAGAATATGTCTAAGATTGAGACATTATAAATAAATGTTCATAAAGCAAAAAAATAAAGGTAATCAAAAAATGTTTTTTGTGGTGGCTGACCGCGTTCTTAAGCGTCTTTGCTGAACAGTGGTCTGGCAGAAGCGAAGTGTTACCAATTCTTAATTATTACCCTGATATTTTATAACTAATCCTGTGCGTAATGTTATGAATGATTCATGATTGAGTACAGGGGGCGTAGTTCAAGATCCTCAGTGACAATGTTCAGCTTCATGAATGCTTTCAAGGACATAATGACTATGACCAAGGAGGAGACAGGCAGGAATACACATTAAGCTCGATGATACAGATACAGATTGTGAGGGTAGGTGATAAACTGAACTGGCTCTGTGCTGCTTCCTGTGGCAATCTTAAGTGTTAGCAATCATCAGTACTGCAGCTAGTGAGTAGCATCTCTTGCTCAAGTCCTGTCCCATGTAACTCGTGTAATATCATATTTTGTCAGCAGGATAAACTAACATAGTCCTGCTGGGATACACCACAGTATTTGGTCCCAGAAGCAATGAGGGGACAGGGCACAGCATGGTAATTATCCCATTCCAGGAGGATGTAAAATTAATGATATTATAGTTTCATGTAACTGAACCACCAGTGGTTTCTGAGTCTGGTGCAGTCACCTGCCTGGTATCTGGTGGAATAGCTAATGCATGTTTGTAAGAAAGTAGATTTTAAAACACAAGCACTGGAGATACACTGAAGTGCTCAATAACACTTCTTATTTCATCTGTTTGTCTGCTGTTGCAAGAAAAATTTGCTATAATTGTTTATGTTGGCTCCATTATTCTTCAAAACATAAAGGAAGTTATTAACATCTAAGACAGACTGAAAATTAAATGTTAAATATAGTGTGACATTCTGTTTCGAGCCTCGGGGAAAGAAATTTCTCATGGGATTTTCGACCGGTGCCAACCCAGCATCGTGAGGAAATTGGAGAGCTACAATGGGTAGCGTAATCTGGTCATGAAAACTACCAATGGCTGGGGGTTTGTTGTGCTGACCACACGTCATCCTATATCTGGTTGGATGATCGTTCACCTCTGCTTAGGCATGTGAATGTGAGGCCAGCAGCCAGCTAGTTGGCTTTGGCTCTCAGAGGGCTGTTACTCCACGGATTATTATTATTATAGTGTGACATTCACCTCTTCTACTAAACTACACGACAAAATTTGCAACAATTTCTTCTGATAAGAAGTGTAATTAAGCTTGCAGCAGTGAAATAAGTACATACCAGACTCATCAATCATAGGCATGTCAACAACTGAAATTCACAAAAATACTCCTGTTGGCTGTCTGTCCGTCCATATTGAAGAATCTGGGATCAGGTTTTCAATATATTTGTTAATAATGTGGACACATTTGCTGAAGTCATCAATGACAAATGTAAATACAGAATGAGTTTGTAATATTAATTGAAAAAAAAAATGAAGTGACTTTTAAGTTAGGAACAAGAAATCTACAAGGAAAACCATAGAAAACACAGCATAGATTATGTCTGGCTACAATACCTATGTTATCTTGATTTATGAAGAAAGCAACTGTTTGTTCTTAGCAAAGTTTAAGTTAAAATCGGATGCAAGAAATAAGCGACTCTCTTTGCTTATATTCTTAATTTTTCTGTTTCTGGAGGCCATTGTGAGTGTCTGTGAGGGAAGGTGTGAAGAAATGAAAATGACTGATTTCAGCCATTGTCCCAATTTGAATTGTTGCAGGTATCTGATTGGTGGAGCCGTGCGGTTTTGACGCATGAGATACTGTCATGAGCTATGCCTTTTGAAGCAGAGAAATCAACCACCAGATGATATTTGAGTGAGTCTCAGCATTTGGAAGCAGATTGGATATCCATGTTCCCTGTGAACAGCAAGTTTTTTTAACAATTTGTAACTTTCTGTGGTTTGACGTAGATGTACGTCTGGCATTTAACTTCCCATCTGCGGTTTGACGTACACACTACGTCCGGCTGTAAGCCTAATTTCTACAGCCCATAAGTATGGAACGAATAACACCTGGGCGATGAGGTTTGCACTGGCCTGTTGTGAAAAGAATGCTCACTCTGTTCATGTAGCAGCAACGTTGCATTTCCTCCAGCTGTGCCTGCCAGTCTAAATATAAATGCGTGACCTCATAGTTATCATGGCTCGCCCTTCAACAAGTCGTGCGCTCACGGAGCTTGAGCAAATACAAGTTTTAAATGAAGTTTTAGAAGATGAAATTACAAGTGAATATAGTTCGGACGATAATAGTGTATTTGACATTGATTAAACACAGTTTGTGACTCCTGGAACTCACATGATTAGTGATAGTGAGAATGATAATGGCAGTGACGAAAGACAGGAAGAAATGCTACAAGTAGGATTGGGAGGGGTGTCCAGTAAGTTTGTGTGGGAAAATATTGACTCATTTCCTGCTTCACGAGAAACATTTTGTAATGTATATGGTAACCAGTTCGACACTGCTGGACTGGATGTCGTGAGTTCATTCAAAAACATTTTTGATATAGCTCTTGTACAGCTCATTGTAGATGAAATCAACAC